ATGAACTTAAGAAATATTTTTCTTTTTAAAACAATAAAATCTGAAAATTAAAAGTAAATTACACTAAAAAGTAAAAAAAAATTAAATAAAAAAAAGTTTATTTAAAAAGGAAGATAAAAATAATTTCATAAAAATTTAACTAACATGAAAAAAATATATTTTTCTTCAATTAATGCAAATTTTTGTTGTGCTAAAAAAGAAGAAAATTCATATTGTACTAGGGGTTATAGTTTAATAGTAAATGAAATGAAATGTCTGCAGCAAATGTCTTAAAACCATAAAATCTTAAACTTATTAAATTGACAAAAAGCAAAGTACAAAAAGAAACAAATTAAATAAGTTTCTAAAAGTTAAATGAACTTAAAAAATATATTTCTTTTTAAGACAATAAAATCTGAAAATTAAAAGAAAATGACATAAAAATTTTTATTTAAAAAACCCCTTCTCGAAATTTCGACCTCGAATCTCTCGAACGGCGCGCCAGTGCTTTGCTACATCGGCCATTGCGACTTTTGGAGCAGCGCGAGCAAAATAATATGCAAGTGCTTTTCACCATGAAAGTTGGCAGGGAAGCCTTTTTTGTAAAGCTTTCGTGCCAGTATTAACAAAATCTTTCAAACTAACTTACCTACTGTCTTTCAATTGTCTTACAAAAGACTTGGAACTATCTTAGCCCGAATTACCATGTAAGCTTCCATTCTTCGTGCATGTATTCATCAGATCAAATTCTGTTTCACAGCTGATAGTTGTGCACTACCAGATTTATAGCGCTAACTTTGAATTATATACGGTTAGTCTAGTGCCATACAACGGTTCCAGGGTCAGCGTTATTGCTGTGCTCACTTTGTTTTGTTCGAGTGAAAGCATGTGGGCATCGTCTCTATAGATTAGGTCTGGGTTCTTCTTCATCAAACGCGCCACCGGTTTTCAAAATCATTGAGAAATGTTACCTCCATATCTCTAGTTCACTTTGAACGTCTTATGCTAGATTTTCTCTGCAGGAATTAGGTGGTAGGACTAGTCTTGAAAGTATTGAATTGGTAACTTATTTTCTCATAGAATTTTCGAGCCTCATTTCTGCTTGTCAGCATCTCAAGCTTTTCTTTCGGTATCCTAGTTTCACTCACCGCCTCTGAAGCAATGACGATCACTGAGCTTTCACTCTGCACTCGCCTATATGAAATCTACAGAAAGCTTTAAAAAAAGCTTCTCTTGCGTTACATGTTTCGGTCGTAACTGCTTGCTAGAGCCTTTAGTTTTAAAAAGGATGCACTGAAAATCAGAAGGTACATATATTATGTACATTAGGTTACCCCCTTCACATTTTGGTACCTTTTTTTTCTTACCAACTAAGTTTTTTTTTTTATTTTTATTTTAAAGATGATCAATTAACTTTACATATTTAATAAATGCTTTTATTGTCGCCAAAAACTAATATAAAATTAGTTTGCTAAGGACTTGAGGTCTAAGGAAAAAGGTGCGTATGTAACAAATAGCATTTCATTAAATCATCTACTAAAACCACATTAATGTTTAAGCTTCATAAGCAACAATTAGACAAATCTATATTTTAAAATTTTAACTCCACCCTTGCAGATGGTTCGACGGCTTCTACTGGTTGGGTTTGCAGAATCGTACACTCGAACCGCCAATTAAGCCAACAGTGAAGAGCGTCGTAGACACTACCAATTTCGATGCATATCCACCAGATCCAGAGGGGCCACCGCCAGATGACTTAACCGGCTGGGATAAGGATTTTTAAGCGAAATTGTGGCAGCTTAGAAAGGGGCCATATAAATAAGTGGGTTTCAAATGAAATGCAGAAAAAATCTATAAGAACAAAA